ATCAAACAGACAGGGACCTTAAAGACTACATAAAAAGAAAATAGTTGCAGGAAAAAAAAAAGGGAGTGCTGTTAACTATAAAACATTTCTGTTTTTAGCTTTAACTACCCCCAAGTAGTTCTGAAATTGCCTTTTTGCTGAACTGCATAAATAAAGTAAAAAATAAACACGATAGACATTTATTTAAGCAACTTGATGCTTTGGTACAACTGTCTTCCATCTCTAAGGTTGAACCCTCTATAATTTCAATAAAATAATCTTGGCTTATTTTTCTTAGTCATCACATAAAAGCTGCCTAAATCATTTAAAGGGTCATAAAATGAAGCACCACCACTAGAAAGCACACAAGGACGAAATTCAATGTGCAGTTGTGCAAGCAGACAATACAGTCTGTGTTTGTACAAAGATTTAGTTGAAAACATTAGGCTCAGTTGTCCGATAAAGGATGATTTGTAGAGCAATAGCAAACAGCCCAACAAACCTCCCCATATTTCATCAGTACGGGTGTTCAGGTGCACCCTGATGGTAGGTGAAGTTGTGAGTTACACATCCCAGAGGCTGACACTTTAGGATCTAGGGAACCATAAAATGTCAGATTTTATTTTAAGCCTAATTGATACATCCCGAATTGTTCCAAAGGAAGTCAGTAGAAGCACCTGTACAGGTCCGAGTAGATATAAAAGCTATTATTTATGATTATTTATGCAAGTTTTTCCCAGATTCTCCTGTCTACAATCTTTATAATTAATGCTAGATGTAAAATGTTATAGACAATAATAAAGCAAAAATTTAAAAAACAGTAGGACATTTTATTTATGATTCACATTTTATTATACAATCATTATATAGTCACTGTGTTTAACACAGAAGATAAAAACACTCAATCGTACATAGGTTCATGACAAAAACACAAAGAAATAAAATACAACAGACAAGCGCACATATGCAGTTATAGAGAACAGCACCGGGTTTCAGGCTTGATAGCACAGAACGAAGTCACCATGGAAAGAAGACAGTAAAAGATACTTCAAATTAGTTTAACCAGGATGGTTCAAAGACAGCTTGAGTTATCAGTAATGTCTTGATCCTTTGAGAAGAGTTTTACATTTGTTGCTACCATGGTTTTGAACTGATTTTGCCCATTTGTAGTAAAAAAAATAGTTTAAAAAAACAAACAAAATTTTGTATCGTGTTGAAACCCAGCAAATACATAGATGTATTTTACATTGTGCAAATTATGCAGTTATTATGCTTTATTAGCACTAAAGCAGTTAAGGAGGCTTTAGTGTTAATAAAGCCACTGTAATGCTTTCTATAAATGACCTCTCAACTTCAACTATCTAACAAGACAGGCCAAGATTAGTAGCATGACTTTGTACCTTGAGAATAAGAGATTACATATATTTATCAGCTGTAATTAAGTGTTTATTAACAAACACTATTTTTTTTGTAATCTACAGTGTTACAAAGAAGATCTTCTGAATAACAAGAATTAACCATATATATCTGTGCCATACATGAGTAAAGTGAAAAATCAGTGCAGTGCAATAATAATAAACCAGCTATATTTCTTTTAATATTAAAAGCATATGTCCTACAGTTATCAAAAGGAAGTAAGAAGTAACTACAACCAGCTTTTTTTAAAGGGACTGTTTGATTTAATTTTTAGCCAAAACAGTTTGGTAAGTTATTTAAGCAAATAGTTAACTCTCATTAATTATGATTACTTGATAAACTGCAGGACATTTTTCTGAAGCACAGTTTGGTAACCAGGAGTTTGCAGCGGGAAGTACTGAGCAATTATACTCTGTGCATGTGTTTCAGGCAGCTTTTACACTGCATCACAAGAATGTTGCATTTTTCATTTTTAACGGGTGAATTACTGACAGGGCAGGGTGTTGTTTTATTTGAACAGTTAAAAAATACAAAATGATTAAATGTGACATCAATGCGAGAATAAAGTGATTGCAGTGGAAGCATTATAGCAGGTACCCTGGCTTAAAGGCCTACGGATATTTTGATTCCTTGTTACGACATGGGGGAAAAAAATAAAAATGTTTTATGTTGTATGTTTTTATTACATTGTCTCTGAGGGCTTTTATGTCTCATATTATGATTTGAACCATTAAGTGTCCCTTTTCACATTTTTCCATGAAACACTGTTTTGAGAAAGAAGGATGAATGCAGCAATAATGTTGTATGAGGAAAACCTATCAAAGTGACCACTTTAATGAGTAAATTGTAATGTCAGGCTTTTGGGATAAAACCTAAACATTTACCGAGGGAATGGGAAACCTTAGTGTTTTCTATAATCTTTCCCATATGGGTCAGTACACACAGAGCAATAATTTTGTCCATCAGATCCAGAATTTATCATTATTGTTCATTTGAAGTCCAGTTATTGTCTCTACTGAGGGAAATATCTTACTCTTTCATGTCTAACTCTATCTGATGTATGGTGTTGAGTAGATTTCACTCAGCACTCCTTGGAAAACATGTCTGCTGCAGCCAAAAATGATGCATGATGCTATGAGTTAGAAATCGAAATAATGAGCTGAAATTTGAACAGCTGCTATCTAACATTTTATTATTATTAATTGTCGTTCAGGGAATTTCTTGGGGTTACAAAACATTAGACTAAATAGCCAAGGAAATTCTTTAGGACAAGTACAAATATAAATACAAAATCTATGGCTCATTGTGGAATATTTCAGTCATCATATATTAACATGTCAGTGCATATTCATCCACAGGGAACAAACTTGGGGGATAAAAGCTTAAAAAATCCACTCTGAACAGAATTAGAGCTCTCTTTTCAATCTTAACTCTCTCATAAAATGCTGAACAAAATGTATTTTTGCCACACAATATAAACAATATCAACAAACGACTATGACTTTCTAATGACTTCAATATAAATAGACACTGGCGCATGATGAAGTCTGGTTCAACCCACAAAGATTATGAGACCCATGACAAAGATAATAATAACCTGACACATGACAGTTAGACTGACTTAAATACAACATTTCACAGGTCTCTTTAATGTGACACATGAGTACAGCTGGCTGCATCCCACATGGATAAAACACTGACTTCCACGCACTGTGCACCTGTCAGGTTCCTGCTCAAACTCCTAGTCACTTTGTTCATTACACAAGGCTTATCTGCTCATTCTGCACTATAATGACCCCAGGACAAAACCCCACACTGGGGTTTCGATAGGGACCAAAGTCAAACACATACACCCTCTCTCACACTACCTGGAAACCAATTTTTTTTCCCCCCCAATATGTCACAGTCGAACACATCTAGTCAACACATGCATTTAAGCAGCTTGGGGTCGAAAGATCTTGACAGCCATTGCAGAAAAACATTCACCATTTCCCCACCTACCACATTTCCACACATTTCCAGCAAAAGGAAAATCTAAGCCAGCCGCCTGCAGCCCACTTGTTAAGTTTTATCCTACATTAACACAAGCTGTTATGCTGATTTCAAAACAAAGCAAAACAAAACTGCAGCTTCATGAAACCACCTGGCCCAAACAGTTTTACTGTAAGTATTGTTATTATTGCTGAACAACACTTTACAGTTAAGCAACTTTTCAACATAAACAGCCACTGTAAATTCTTAATTATATACTCAGAGCTAGAATGCACACTGTATTCAAAAATTAAAAAAAAAAAAAAAAGTGTCACTCTCACTAATCTTCCACCCATCATCTTGTTGTACTATCATTTGGTTTTCAGTTTCTCACAAAACAAATGCTCACAGTCAAGTAGCTGAAACCAGTTTATTTTAGGCATCTTCAGCTGAAAATGGCTCGTTTTAAATGTATTTATTACCTGTTACAATTTATTTATTTATTTAACTGAAATGTAGCCTCTTTATTGGTCAACACATAAGCCTAGTTTATACTTAGAATGGGATAAAAATCCATTTCACAGCATTATCTAAATTAAAATGACCACAAATAAATAAATCAAGTAACAATACAGCAGAAGTAGCCTGATACAAATCAAGACACATTCAGCTTAAGAAAACAGAAAAGCAGCGAATATTTAGTTCACAAAAACCTCAGTGACACAACATATGAAATGTAATAATGTAATCATGCTTAATCTTCAGCCCACAGTAACAAAGGCAGACTTTAAAGTGCTTTAAAGGGCTGCTCTTAGTTCCTTCTGGTGTTTATAGCTACTGATCCACTCTTGCCGTTGTTAGATGTTTGTCACCTTGTGGTGAACTAAGTCGGAAAAATTTTTAGTTTCCGTCGGATATGGTTTCGCTAAGAGGAGGAAAAGGAAAGGGCTTAGCTACTCCATACCATGTGCCTGCATGTGCTACAGCCTAAACCGCAGGGAAGTAGCCTGTTCTACAACCTGTAAGAATACTGGGACACTGGGGTCACAACATGTCAAAGTTTTACACCTTCCTGTGAAAAAAATTAGCTGAAAATAGGAATCATATAAGCGATCAAACCCGTTTCTGTGTCACATACTGCTCACGTAGGCATTCGTCCAGCTTGGATTTACCTGTTGCAACTGCGCTACAGTAACTTTCAGGCGCATCGGTTTATATTTAAGAAAGATTCACAACAACAATGGATGAGCACCAGTTTGTTGCCCTGGATGAAACGCATAGTCGTGACATCTGCTCTTGGCGCTCACTCCAGAGGGACCGAGCTATTCTTTCTTCATTGATCACCCCCTTTTAGGAAACAAAGCTATAGCCTATATATCCAAAGAGTGAAGCTACAATTTCCTTTATGTCTTCTTCATTGCTTTCCCCTTAGGTTACTATATTCCTGCGTGGTTGAATGAAAATCAAAAGATTGCAATAAAGGTTTAAAGTATTATTTTACAAGTGTCCACCTCTCAGTGAAGGCAGAAAAACCTGGAAATATGTCAGTCACAACAAGTAACAAAGCCATTCCCCTAAAAAATAAATATAAATAAATAAAACAAATAAAAAAAGACAGGATTGTGATGTCTTACCAAAAGCTCGTATCACGAAGCTTCCACGATAATTCCGCTGGTAAGTGGGAACAATCTGATGACCTCGCTCTCCTTTCGTGCGTTTCGCGTGTCTTTCTTTTCCTCAGGGAAGGTGAGAGTTGCCCATCTATCTGTCTATCTGTATTCGTGGGTTTTTACGCACATTTGTACCGTCTCTTTCCAAACCAGTGGCCACAAACTGTTCTTTGAGAGATGGTCTGCAGTGTAAAACCATTTGAAGCTTCAACTGTGGGGGTCGTGGTAGGTCCGCCTCCTTTGCAACCCCCGCCGCCCCCGCCGGGTATTTAGCCGCGTTGCTCGATGTAGTGTTCAGCCACTTGGTTCTGTGAGTGAGTCTGTGAGCGAATATGAGAAAAAAAAAATCGGACTTTCAGCAGGCAGTGATTACTCAAGTCTTCGGAATGAAGAACTTAACTGCACGGCTCTTTAGATCTGTCTGATAATAGAGGAGACGTCCTGCTAAGTTTCACATACGTGTCGTAATTGTCTGAAAGCTTTTAAAAACCCGACAGTGCCAAATACGCGCGTTCATCTTTGTCTCCCTATATTCCGCATACCGTGGTTCCTGCACTGAAAAGCTGTATTAGTACATTATTTTTCTTAAATTGTGTGTCTTGTGTTGGATCCAGTGGTTTCCTCTGCTCGCTCACAAAAAAATTGCAAAGGTGAGGAGGTCACTTGTTTGCTTCTGGCACTCAGACAAGTATTTAACAATGGATCACACTTTCTTTTATGTATTTATTTTTCTTAATCTAAATCAATAAATTGATTTGAGATGTGGCTTTGGTGCAGGTATGAGTTATTAAAGTTTAAGATATCTTATCCTGAAATATCACCAGCCAGCAGCTGCACAAATACAGACAATTATCAGAATTCAGTAGAATAGACCATAAGAGGAAACCAATGAAAGACAAAAATAGTGTAGTTGTAGATAAAATATTAAAACATAAAATAAACAAGCCTAGTGTGAAGCAAGAGTTGCAACCCAGATTGGATCAAATAACTGGCTATTACATAGCTTACAAGTATATCATAAATGTATTGTTATACTGCAGAAATGAATCATGTAGTTTTACACTGTTGCCACGACATTAAATTATTTTAAGCAAAAGACAACTTAAATTAAATGTCACTTTAGCGTCCTCTAGAGGTCATGCTGATTGAAGGAAGATTTAGAGACGCTAATTAACAGATTAATGCTCATTCACATCTCCATAAACACATCCTTAACCCTTACACATGTCTTTGCCTTCACTGTAGGGTCCTGGTGAGTTTTGACCAAAGCCAATAAGTTCTTTATAATATCAAAATCTGAACTACAGATCTGTTTAGAATGTATAAAAAGCCAACAAATAGATGATTAATTCTTAATGGGTGTTTCAGAGAGCAGGGAAACCTTATTTCTGCTTTGTTCAAGACATGAAAACACAACAGCTGTAAGGGTTCAAATATATTTTAGAAAGTGAAATGGCGATAACGTTCTAAAAATGCTGGGATTTACTAGACAACCATATAACCATTACTATCATTACTCCTCACTGCTGTTCTCATAAAAACATCACCATAACAAAGTAACAAAGCCATTCCCCTAAAAAATAAATATAAATAAATAAAACAAATAAAAAAAGACAGGATCTACCATCTATATGGATATTATACAGGGTACTTTTTTTTTTTTTTTTACTATAATCACATCTCAAAAGAGGTCAAATTTGGCTCAAACAGTAAGTAAATGTTAAATGCAGAACAGCTCAGAGGAGCCTCAGAACACAACAATAACAGATGGTGATATTTATACACACATTTCCCCTGACTTTTCAAGAGGACTGAGCATGTATTGGAGTGACTGAAACAATAACCCAGTCTGAGATCATCAATGGTGTAAGATGCATATTTTTGAGTGATGCCAAGTTTTCATCTTTTAACAAGTGGGATCACATGATCTATTTGTCATATTTGTCTTACTGCTTAACCATATGTAGAGTTGAATCAGAGAGATTTTAGCTTGGCTTTTTCTTCTTATTTGCTATGTGCTCATAGCTATTTTGGTTCAAAACGCTTCACATTTGTTCAGCAGATAGGTGCTAACATTGCAGTTTGGTGCTTAGTGAGCTTTTAGAGCCTTTTCCTGAAAACAGTTGCCTTCATCCATCACACTAGACGTGCTAAATATGGAGCAAAGCAGTAGTTCAAGGCACGGAAGTAATGCTGCAGATTTAGCGATGATTCTCTTTGCCAAGAGAATCACTGCCAAGCTTTTTCACATACAACTTCATTAGACAATACCTTTTTTTTTTTTAGCACAAGCTGGCTAACAGATCACTCATTCATTGTGGTTGTGCTTAGGAGAGGAAAGGTGGCATGTCTTGATTTGATGCTTACTTCAGATAATCTGCTTAAAGTAATGTTTACATGAAAAGTACAAAACATTTCAACAGACTGATCAGCTGGAACATTTTTAGCTAAACAACTTGCAGTAGTTGACTAAAAAGACAAAGAGAAAAGCAGCACTTTGTGTCTCTCACGTATTTCTATAATTATTGTCCCACAGAGATAGGCATCTCTTAAAAAGTCTTTAAATGCCAATACAAAAACATGCAAAGTACACATCTCCACTCAATTTCTACAATTTTTTCAAGTCTGCTCAGTTTTCAGTTCATTAAAAAAATCATGTGCTGGTTGTTTGTTTTAAAAGTGTCATCAAAAATGTAAAAAAGAGACTACAAGCTCTGTGACTGGAACATAATGGTATTACATAAGAGGAGCTAAAGAAAACAACACTACATTCTTGCTGACGTACGTCCTGCGCTTGATTTCTTCTACTATTTCCCAGCTGGTTTTCTAGGCGTGGCTTTAGGAAGTGGTGAAACACTTTACACAGCACAGAACAAAGGTGAGATATGTAATCAATTTGTACTCTTTCTTATAATATATGTGTCTAAAAGAAGTGAGTTTGAGGTTCAGGACATTTCTTCCTAGTGAAAACATCAAAGGATGAAAGATGATGAGAGTCATGAAACAATCTGAGAGATATATCGTGTTTCATACAAACTGCTAGCATCCACATGACCAACTCTTTATGTGAAGAATTAATATCACTTTCAAGGTTTTTTTTCTGTTTTAAGATGCGTTGGAGTAATTTATTCTTTTTTTATTTTTAAATTTGTTCTTGGTTTACTTTATATTTTTCGGTTATTTACAAGGTTTATTTGCAGGTTAATGACTGCATAATTTTGTGTTTTGTTTTTGTTGTTTGCCTTTGTAAATCAGCCAGAAAGAACTGCAGGGCAATTTTCTATCTTTGTTTATTCCTTGCCAAACTGGATAAATAAACCACAAAATGCAACTTTCAAGGTTTTGACCTTGGACTTCTTTTGCCTGCGTACAAAATATCACCACAGTGCAGCAGTGGTCATCCATCAAAAACCTGGCAATCACAAATTATTGTTTTTCAGAGGCTAAAGTGGTCTCTTAACCATCTAATAATATGTCAACTCTCCAATACGAAGTAATGAACAATGACACAGGACGTTCAGTGGATCAGGTGGAATTACAACTGACAATCAACTGTTTATAAAAAACAATTTGATAATAAAAATCAATAAAGTGTTTTGTCAAAGTTTTATTTACATGTAACATACAGAAAGACTACAATGGATTTACTATATAATAAACAATTAAAAAGGGACAATAAGTGTGTCAAAAGAACAGCCAGTAGAGACAGCACCTGCACCTGCGTCAAGACAGACTGAAAAAGGATTTTTTATTTTACTATATTTGACTTGGAGAATTTTATTTCATATTGTCCAAACAAAAAGGAACACTGAATTTCAGTTTTGACAACCAGGAAAAATTCTTCAAATGAGAAAAAAAAAAAAAAAAATGAAGCTTCCCAGGTATATCAAGGATTATGAAACACTGAAATAACACAAAGCATTGTGGCATTTTTAGGGAACCATGGGTATATCCAGAGTAAGGTGGTATTGTATCAGTATCAGTTTGTGCGCAAATACGATTGCATTTAATTCATGTGGTTGAATTGTCACATCAATATTTTTCCCCTGACAAAATAATGATTTGGAATAAGTTTTAAAAAAAAAAAAAAAAAAAAAAAACCCTCTACAAAAGAAGGAAAAATGTAATTTCAGATTTTTGCTGTCACAGGCTGGTTACTGCTATTTCCACAATTCCGAACTACAGAGAACAGCTTTAAGTTTCACAGGAAGCCACTGCTCAGATTGCAATGCTTAATTTAGCACCAAAAATCAGACAAAAGAGCAGCTTTTGTCATCTAAGGTTTTTCTCTACACGTGAAAATGTGCCTTCTCTACAGCCAAGTGCTCCCACTGCATATTCAGCTGATTTTATTAGCAGTGAGATTCTGGAATTAGCGGTGCACATATAGATCTCACCGCAATATTTCTGAATTTAACTGCTGAAAACACTCAGAATTTACATTAAGAAAAGCTGCCGTATGTTATCAAACATAATGAAGACCAGAGAAAAATAACGCCACACGTTTATTTCTGTACAAATAATCCAGATTTTGTATAAACTGTACAATCATTTAAACATGCTCAGACTTAAAGAAAAAGTTGTCATAACATTGAATGACTATAAAAGAAATCTGAAAACCAGCAATGTAAATTCACTGTGCATATGTACAATTTATAAATTATATTAACTATGTCATTATTCCTACAACAGATTTTTTCTTCATTGACTGGTTTAGAGTAAGAGGTATAGTTTTTATGGATCACAGACTGGACTGATACCGTTAGGAACGTCTCTTTAGCTTCTCGTGACGCAGACACAGTGGAGCTCCACACCAAAAAGAAGCAGATTGTTGGCAGGCCATTTCAAGAAGTCACTTTTGCTTCAGACTAATGACTCATTCCAGCTCAGTGAAGCGAGCAAACATGGCTTTGCGGACTGCATCTTTGTAGGTGTCTGAAGGAGAGAGGGTGTAGTTGGTTCCTTTAGTGCCGAGTCCAGCTCCCTTTGTTCTTAACTGAGCCTGAGGAGGAAGTCCACAGAGTTGAGTACTTTCTAGAGCTGTATATAGTTACTGAGTCTGATGAACTATTACACCACAACTGTTACAAATACCTCAATTGGTGCTGTGATGCCCTGCTGGTTGCGGCCAAGACCTTTCCCCTCCTTCCAGCCCATTGCCTGCAACATCTTGTTCCCAATATTGTCACTGTTGAGGCCATCTTTAGTGGGCTGTTCATAGTTACTGTACATAAAAGAGCAGAATATCAAATAAAGCCAAGTTTAATGATAAAATAGACTGAAATCACTAGAGGAACGACATTTCACACAAATCAGTAAAATAAACAAAAATGACTTACATTGCTGGCGCTGGTTGGTTAAATTTCTTCTTTTTAGGCACAGGCGGTTCAGGGATGCCATATTTTTCTCTTCTCTCGGCTGCCCTGTCCCTATATTTCATCTATAGAAATATAGAAAAAGAAACAAATAAACACGGTATAATGTACAAAAACAATGTTTAAATGCATCCACATTGAAAAACAAAAGAATGACTCAGAAGTAAGTGGGCGATTCTATATTGAGCTGCACCTCAGTCTCTTTTCTCTCCAGCTCTTCCAGCTCTGCTTCACTCATTTTGGATCTGCGAAGAACTTCCAGGTTTTTCTATGACGAGACCAACGGAATAATGAGCTCTCTCCCTTTTTTTGGAAAATTTTCATTGTTAGTTCTGAAGATGACACATGTACTGTTACCTTGTGAAGGTCTGAGAGTTGCTGATGTCGGATTAGACTCTCTTTATTGGGAAACTGTCTCCTACACAGTAAGCATGCTAATTTTTTCCAGTCTGTCAGCTTGTCCTGGCTTATATCACCACCATCAGGTTCTGCTCCTCCCTCCTCAGGGTCACTGTCTCCACTGTAGGCAGCCACAAGGCCACACTAACCACACCAAGGATAACCATACATAAATATTAGCTTATTACTAAGGGTAACAGATTTTTAAATTCATGCAAAATCTGACATTATCATCTTCATACAGAAGTATAGCCAACTAAAATGAGAGATGCAGAAAATACTCACCTTTGAAGAGGTGACTGAGGTGGTTGATGGCTCTTCTTCAGGGGCCCTTAGCATCTCTGGGATGAGTCTGTCTAGACTTACCTGCTGGAAAAGGGAAGTGGAACCATTAAAGACATAGAAGCTTTACACATGCAGTCCCAGAACTTGGTTACGTATCGAAGCCTAATGAGATACCTTCTTTTCAAACAATGTGTATCCAGCATCAGCAGCTGCTGCCTCCTTTCTTTCTTCTTGACTAATAGGCTGAAAGCTACTTCTGAAGTTTTCCTTTTGCTTGTTGAGACTTTTAGCCCACCGTTCCATGTCCTTAGCAATCTGTAGGATTTTTAAAATATAGTAAAGTGCACAAAGAAACGAGTGAACTGAAAATGTGTGAAAGTTGTTTCAGGCATAATAAAAATGTTAATGCAGGACTTTGAACACACCTGCTGAGCTGTCTTGCTTTTGGGCTTCTCTTTTTTCTCCTTGCCCTCTTTCGGTTCTTTGGTGCCTGTTGCTGCAGAACCACCTGTTTTGCCATCATTTTGTCCAGTGCCTGTGCTGGCAGGTACGTATGTCTGCTTCTCACTGTCCCAGTAAAGAAACTGCTGCGTCTGAGAATTGTAGTAATACTGAAAGTAGAAACGGCAATTTGCATGTTAAAAAAAAAAAAAAAAAAAAAAAAAAAGACAGATCAATTACACATTATAAATGCACAGATCAGACAGAAAAACATGCAACTCACACAAGGTGGATGTGCACTACTTACCTGTGTATTTGGGTCATAGTAGAGGCCAGTCTGAGGATCGTAATAGTAGCCAGAAGACTCATCATATTGATAGGTGGATGTATCAGGAACAGCTGTGAATTAGCAAACACAACAGCATTAACAATGGTGGTAAAAATCTTTCTTGGCAAATTAGAAAAGACAGGGATAGAAATAAAGACGCATTCCAGATTTAACTGTTAACTAACACACAATTAATAAAATGAAAAGCTTTAAAGAATTAAGCATTAGCAATTATGTACAGTGGGGCAAAAAAGTATTTAGTCAGCCACCGATTGTGCAAGTTCCCCCACTTAAAATGATGACAGAGGTCAGTAATTTGCACCAGAGGTACACTT